CCCTCGGGTTGACAAGTAGGGGAATGCTTGAGATGCCCCTGTTTTGGGCTAGGGATAACGAGATGTGTGATACTCTGTTAGGTGAATATTGTAGTGCCTCTCTAGGTGTCTTCATTGGATAATGAGATGGGTGGCAGGGATTATGGTGTTGTTCCTGTTGTGTGAGTATTGTGATGCCTCTCCAGGCGTCCTCCTTGAGAATGTGTGTGTGACGAGAATTTTGTGTTTCTCTCGCAAAGTGAGTATTATGATGCCTCTCTAGGCATCTTCTTGTGGTAGGAGTATTTTTCTGAATTTTTATTCTTAGCTTTGGCTTTTTCATGCTTGAAGCTTACTTCTTCTTCATGCAAAGTGTTTTATCCTGGTTCAGCCACTCCACATGGGACTTACATCCAGTCCTCAATCATAACCTAATCAAGATTTGTTCCACTATCTTAATGAAGATGTTTTGTAGGCATACCACACATGCATACACTCCTACATTCAAGATAGACACTTTCTTGACCCCAAGAAAGCACTTCTTGTAGAAATCTACTACAAGAAATCCTTACCACTTGAGACACCTACTCAAGATTTCTTTAAACTTTACACAAAGAATTAGGAACGAATTCACCTGGAAGCTGAGAAAATCAGACTGTGAATTCCTGACACATCTTAATCCTTCTCTTCCAAAAATGTAGTGATGATGATGATTTCTCTCAAAGAATTTCACAATATATTTCTCTTCTTGGATTCACAAAGAACACCCTAAGAAGGTCACAAAGACTTCACAAAATTAGTTTTTCTCTCTTCTATTTTCAGTTCATCTCACTTTTTTGTTTCAAAGTGTGAAAACTATTTATAAATTTTTCCTGACCCAGATAATCGATTATTTCTTAGGATAATTGGTTATTTTGTTCTTCATGATTTCTAGAAACCACTCAAGAATAGAATAATTGATTATTTTGCAGGATAATCGATTATTCCAGCGGGTACTTCCTGAAATAATCGATTATTTCTCAGATAATCGATTATTACAACAAGGTTCCCCGAACCCCTTGCTGGATGATGGCATCCTTGCTTCCATTGATGAAGAGATGATGATCAATGGCAAGGTATACCTTGGACTCCTTGGATCATAGCTCATCAAGGGTGTCTTTGATGGAGGGATTGGAAGAAATGGGAAGTGCAGAGGAAGTGTTTGATGAAATGTTTGAGAGGTGTACTCTAGGGTTGGCTCACTCCAAGGTAGTTAAAGGCCACTTTTAGGGTTTTTCTCTCAAGGTGGAGATAGGTAGGGTGGTGGCTGAAATTAGCCAAGGGAGACTAAGGATGATATAAAGGCACAAAGGCTCTTTCTATATTCAATATCCAAAGTGATTACAAGTTGCATAACCTAGGGTATTTATAGAAGGGAGGGAGCATTTAGGGTTGCATTTGAGAGTGTTTTGGCCGACATGCAATGCCAAATGCACTTCAAATGAAGCATAAATTAACCCTAGAATAGAACACTACAATTTGTATCCATCAAACAATATAAACCAAAAATTGGGTGTTTTATTAAGACCAAAGAAATACTTTCTTCCTTGTGCACCTCCAAGGAAGTAGTATAAGAAGTAGAACTAAATGTAGTCCACTCCTATATTCTATGTTTGATCTTATGGGCAGTTCTTATTTCTTTGAACTTAATTTGATTCATTCCCTACAAGACAAACATAGTTTATATGATCATGAATATCTAACAAACAATCAAATCCAAAATTGTCTAGGAAGTTTCCTAGTATTCTTTTCTTTATATTTTAGGAAATGCTTAGGTTACCATTTAGGGTACTTTAGGCAAGATGTTTTAATTTGTAAAAATCATTCTTTCAATGGTATTAGTCTTAGTGTTAATACATTTTTACAATTTCATTCTAGGTTATGCTTAGAAGAGGATCCTATCTTTACCTTTAGGGAGTTTAATTTCAATAGTTTAGTTTTCTTTGCTAGGCTAGATAGAAGGATTCCTCCTAGGATCCACATTCCATTTTCTTCCCACGAACATGTCACCTCTTATACATGGTATGTTGTGCATGTAGGTGATGATTTTTTTTCCATGGATCCTCGTGATTTGAGGACAAATCCTTTTCACGAGGGAGGGGATGATGGAATCATGCCTAGGAAGGCAAGGCGTGACACATTGAAGGAACCAAGAGGAGTTGGCTAGACATGAAGGATTGGGCCAGTCAAGGCCCGATGGGCTTGGAAGGCCCAAGTTGAGCTTTACATGGGCTTATCTTGTTATATCCATTTTGTTCTTATGATTTGTTAGTATAATTAAAACACCACCAGGATAAGTTTGCTCCAGAGGCAAAAGGATGTCGTTGCCATAAATAAAATGGCAGCTCCATAAGTCATTTCAAGTAGTGAAACACAAATCCAGAATACCTGAAAAATAAACATATTTAGGGAAACCTAGATATAGGAGGTCACAACTAAATCCTAAAAGATGCTATATGAGAATAACACACCTGTTTTTGACCCAAAAGTACTGCTAAAGATCGAATGCCAAACTTTTCATCTCCTTCAACGTCAGGTATATCCTTGATGAAAGTCCCCAAAAGGTATATTTTACTTTCACAATATGGACACATGCTTATTTTTAGAAAACATAAGATTTTATTCTTTTTACCTTGAAAAGTGCTGCAACTACTAATGAGATGCTCAGTAATACTATAGTAAAGATCAATGATGTTGGATACGTAGTTGGCCTCTTGAATACATAGGTCTGCACATTTAATTTTACATATATATATATATATATTAGGAAGAAAAAAAAAGGAACATTTGACTTAGTAGTCAAGGTAGCTCTATTATATAGAATACTAAGATATATCTTCTAGGAAATAAGTTATGTAAACTAATACTTCCTTTCGTTTTGAATATGAGCAAAGAAAAAACTAAATTAATTCACACTAACTAATTAAGAATATTAGTTATCATCATTTAATTTCAATAATATCATTTAAAAAAATAGCCTATTTTCTAAAATCCTTTGGAACTTGGTATTAAGAATAAAAAAATAATTGGAAATACAATATCAAATACCCACTTGAAAAGGATTTGACCTCAAATCAAGAGGTTCTTCTTTGTCAGCAAACCACTTGGAGATTAGTTGCTCAGCTCTGGTCGGCAGAGCTCTTTTGCTCCCCCTAACTTCAAGCTTCTTGATTCTCTTAGAAGATGAGGCCATTTTGTGATTAAAGATGGGTTATTGGTTGGAGAAGAAAAGATGAAGAAGAATGTAAGATAAAAGGGTTAGGGTTTGTGTGTGAGAGTTGAGAGAATGTGTGGGCTTTATAGAGACTAAGAGGGTTAAGTGATTTTAAAGCCCTAGACACCGGATTGGGTAGAAGAGAGGTGCCACTTATGATGGAAAGTGGGAGGTTGGGAGCTGGCGTGAACAAAATCATTCAAAAACTGTTTGGAAAACCAAGGGTCGCGCAAATAATCGATTATCTATACAAATAATCGATTATTTGTATCAGCAAAATTAGTCTAAAAACCCTGTCTACACTAAATAATCGATTATTTTTGGAATAATCGATTATTCCATAGGCTTATTCTTTCAATCCTTCCCAGATAATCAATTAGTTGCCAAATAATCAATTATTCCAGAGACCTATGGAATTCTACTTCTTCCTAGATAATTGATTATTTTTAGAATAATCGATTATTTTCCTAGTGTTACTTAAAATAATCGATTAAATTTTACAATAATTGATTATTGCAGAGAAGTTTTGTTTCTCTTACTCTGAACCTCTTAACCATTCCTCATCCATTTTATATCATAAAAACACTCTTTTACACACCACATTTCAATGTTCTTTACACACATCAATCAAGTTTTATTCAAACAATCACACTCAAGTGCATATTTACAATCAATTCAAACAAGACTCATTGATAATTCCAAGTTCAATTCTCAATTGATTAAATCTTTCTTTTGGTAGAGGTTTTGTAAATATATCAGCTAATTGTTTATTTGTTTCAACAAACTCTACTACACAATCATTCTTTTGGACATGCTCCCTTAAAAAAATGATGTCTTATTTCTATATGTTTTTTCATAGAGGTAAGATTGGATTTTTGGTTAGATTGATTGCACTTATGTTATCACATCTTAACGAAATTTTGTTCAACTCAGTTCCATAGTCTTTTAGTTGTTGTTTCATCTAGAGGATTTGTGCACAACAGGTGCCAACGGCCATGTATTCAGCCTCAATTGTACTTAAAGTAACACATGCTTGCTTTTTGCTATGTCATGAGACAAGTGCACTTCCAAGTAGGTGACAAGTGATGGCATCCTAGCTTGCATGAACTTGAGATGATGAGCTACGGAGAGGACGCCTACTCCAAGGATCAAGTCCTTCAAGGGTGATGCATGATTTAGAGAAGGAAAAGGTGGAATGGACGAAAATGGAGAGTTTAGCGCTCAAGGTGAAGATAGGATGGTGGTGGCTGAATTTAGCCTAGGGTGACTAAGGATGATATAAAGGCAAAAATGCTCTCTTTATATTCAATATCCAAAGTATTTACATGATGCATAGCCTAGGGTATTTACAGGAGTGGAAGGCATCTAGGGTTGCATTTGGAGAGTGCATGGCCAAAATTCACAAGCCAAATGAAACTTAAATTAACCCTAGATGCAACTTGGTGGCCAAGGATGGAATCTTTGGGTTTGGCTAGGCTACTTCTAGGTGCATGATAAGACCATGCAACATTTGCACTCCTGATGGAAGTAGGTAGGTGAAGTGAAACTTGTTCTTCCCTTGCCTCCACCAAGCTCACGGATCTTGTTTCCATGATTGATGTTCACGGATTGAAGGTGGAATTAAGAAGAGAATGACATGGTTTCCCTAAGCTAAGAAGGAAGTATCCTAGCTAGAGAATCAAAGAGAAAGCTCACGGACTAAGCTTAGGAGAGGTAATTTTCCTAAGGCTAAGATTAGGCTTTCTTGGTGACTTTGAGAGAGAACTTGGCTGAAGATATTTCAGAAAATTCTCATTAAAATTCAAAGTGATTACATAAGGGTGAAGGTGTCAATATATAGTCCAAATAAGCAAGCTAGTGGCGCCTAAATTCAAATGTCCATCTTTGGCACCAATATTTGAATTTCAAATGGCATTTGAAATTCAAATTTTGGTGTACCATGTGCACATCCGAAATTTATGGAAACTAGCATCAACTAAGTTGCATTTGAGACTCATTTGATGTGTATTTAGGGTGCACATGTTCAGCCTATACAAGCTTAAAACATGTGACCTAAATTCATGCCAAATGACATCTTAATGAAACTTAGATTTAGCCTAAATGACTTAATATTGAAAACCTTCTAAATTCCTAATCTAATGGCCTAAATACAATGGCCAATCAAATACAATATAAAGGAAAAATTACAAGGATTAAAATGAGCCCAATATTGGGTACAAAAAGTCCAAAGGCCCATGAAGCCCAAAACTAGGCCCAATAAGCCTATGGCCCAAAAATGCTACTCTATGTGGTCCAAAATACAAAGACCAAAATATATGGAACCTATACTAACAAATCATAAGAACAAAATGGATATAACAAGATAAGCCCATGTAAAGCTCAACTTGGGCCTTCCAAGCCCATCGGGCCTTGACTGGCCCAATCCTTCATGTCTAGCCAACTCCTCTTGGTTCCTTCAATGTGTCACGCCTTGCCTTCCTAGGCATGATTCCATCATCCCCTCCCTCGTGAAAAGGATTTGTCCTCAAATCACGAGGATCCATGGAAAAAAAATCATCACCTACATGCACAACATACCATGTATAAGAGGTGACATGTTCGTGGGAAGAAAATGGAATGTGGATCCTAGGAGGAATCCTTCTATCTAGCCTAGCAAAGAAAACTAAACTATTGAAATTAAACTCCCTAAAGGTAAAGATAGGATCCTCTTCTAAGCATAACCTAGAATGAAATTGTAAAAATGTATTAACACTAAGACTAATACCATTGAAAGAATGATTTTTACAAATTAAAACATCTTGCCTAAAGTACCCTAAATGGTAACCTAAGCATTTCCTAAAATATAAAGAAAAGAATACTAGGAAACTTCCTAGACAATTTTGGATTTGATTGTTTGTTAGATATTCATGATCATATAAACTATGTTTGTCTTGTAGGGAATGAATCAAATTAAGTTCAAAGAAATAAGAACTGCCCATAAGATCAAACATAGAATATAGAACACTACAATTTGTATCCATCAAACAATATAAACCAAAAATTGGGTGTTTTATTAAGACCAAAGAAATACTTTCTTCCTTGTGCACCTCCAAGGAAGTAGTATAAGAAGTAGAACTAAATGTAGTCCACTCCTTCTTCACTACATCTTGAAGTTGAAAGTGTTTTTCTTTTAAGATATTTTGTTCTAGAATCTCTACTTCAAGACTAGTGGTAGCATAAGGGTAAGAGTTAAGAATTGTATGTGGAAAGAAAGTATTTTGCAAATGGTTTTTAATGATAGAACAACTCTTTTCACTTACAAGTCCTTTAGAGGAGATATTTTCCTCATTATTCTTCCCTAAGAGACATGCCTTTTTTCTTTCTTTTTCCCTTGTTTTTCTCAATTTTATTTTTGCTAAAAGTTTTTCTTCCTTTTGTTTAAGAATGTGAATTTCTTCCTCTAAATTTGCAAGTTGTGCTTTTCTTTCAAGTTTTTCTTTTTCTCTTGTTAGCACTTCTTTCTTTGTCCAAAGTGTTAGTGATTTAAGCTTTTGGGTAGGATTTGAAAAACTTTTTGGAGAGCTTGAGTCATTACCACTTGAGGAATATTTTCTCATGATTAAACAAAAAGAATTTTATATGTTATGCAAAAAGAAAATATTTTTGGCCTTTTCTAGGAATATGACTAACATTAGAAGTCTAAGTGTACAAATTGCACTATCAAGGGAGGTGAGCTACTAAGAGCCACTTAACAACCAAGCCTTTTCAAGTAGAAATCACTAAACTTCCTTATGGTAATCGCAATTCCAAAAAAACTTTTCACAAATGTTTAATGATTGATGATTTTCAAAAGTGTTTTTCATTATAACTAAACATGAGCAATTTAAATTCTACACATGCTAGTCGAATTAACAAAGCAAAGTAATCAAACCAAGGAAAAAACAAGTCAAAGGAGACAATGTTAAGCAACTAGTCGGATTTTCCCTAAGTAGAAGCTTGAAACATATGGAATTTCCAAGCCACTTCCACTAGTACTACACGTGAGTGACTTTAAGGGATTAGATATACCTGACCAGGTTCTTAATACTCCCTCCAAGCTATTACAATTTGAATAAAATCAAAGAAAATTGCAAAGGAAATTAAACTAGACTAAGAAAGAATTTAGTGACGGAATTGGCAACGGTTTTAGTGACAGATTTTTCCAACAATAATTTTGTACTCTAATTCGTCACTCCTCTTGAAGTCTTTTCTCCTCCTTGCAACCTGCACAATGTTAAACAAAAAAATAGAAGAAACAATGGCTGCTCACAATGATTAGGAAGGTTCACTCTTGTGAATGGAGATTTAGAAGTTTTAGGTCACACATTTGGTCAAATTTTGAGTCCTTAGGTCTTAGAATTAGCAATACTCCTCTCCTAATCTTGTTGAGTCAATGTTTGATTCTCTTGCAAGGATTTGGAGCCACTTC